CGTAATAGGGTAGGGGGCTGCGTTTTTTTTTTTTTCCTTGAGATGGACGAGTCTCTGTTTCCCATCCAGGCCTGAGCTCCTGGCCTCAGCGATCCTCCCACCTCTGCCTCCCGAGGCACACACCACCAATTCTGGCTAGCTTCGGGGTTTTGGTTTGCTTTCAAGTTTTTTGGTTTTTGTTTTTTTTAATTTTAAAGGGCACAGAGAAGCACTGTACTGGAGTGTCGTGAAAAATACATTACATAGATTTTGTAATTATCTCTAGTCACACAAATACTATGGAAAAGACTAAAAATCCAGAGTCTAAACATTTTTTAAATGCTTGACATTTGAAGTTCTTTACTATTCCAGGAGCTAGACAATAGTCAGTAGTCGTAGTAGTTGGCAGTATCAAGGTGTTGCTCAACCTTTCTGTTCACCAGTTATTGCATGACATGCAGATAAAAAGATGCCAGGGGGTTGCACAATGCCAGTGTTTCTGCATAATTACCGCTAATCTTGTAAAGATGTATGTGATACTCTCCCCATTCTCCAGACCCCTTTTAATCAGCCATGGGAAAGGAGGTCACCTGTAGACATTTCAGCTCCCTGACTCATGTTGGGAAAGCCAGTGGGTTTAGGGCTACTAGAAGGAATTCCTTAGTAAAGGATGTAGAACAGTTTGACGTAGAGACCGTATTAGTCAATGTTCTCCTGAAAAAGAGAATGAATAGGATGTGCACGTATGCCTATAGAAAGATGTTTATTTGAAGGAATTGGCTCCTGTGATTGTGGAAGCTTGAGGAATCCAGAATCTGATGGGGGCAGCCAGTGGGCTGGAAACCCAGGAAAGAATGGTAGCTCAAGTCCAAAGGTCGTCTGTTGCAGAACCAGGAAGAGCTGCTGTTGTAGGTACCGTCTGAAGACTCTCTGCTGGCCCAGTTCCCCCTTGCTCAGGGAGGGTCAGTCTTTTGTTCTGTTCATCCTTCAGCTGATTGGATGAGGCCACCATATCATGGAGATCAATCTGCTTTACTCAAAGTTGACCGATTTAAATGTAAACACTTTCATAGAAACATCTGGAATAATGTTTGTCTAAATAACTGGGGGGCATGGCCCAGCCAAGCTGATGTACAAAATTAACCGTCATAGAGGTCCATCGGGATTTTCTTCTTCTTTTTTTTTTTTTTGAGGCAGTGTCTCACTCTGTCACCCAGGCTAAGGTGCCGTGGCATGATCACAGCGCACTACAGCTTTGACTTCCTGGGATCAGGTGATCCTCCCACCTCAGCCTCCCGAGTAGCTGGATCTACAGGCGAATTCTACGACACCCAGCTCATTTTTTTCTTTTTTTATTTTTTTAGATATGAGGTCTCACCTTTTGCCCAGAATGGTCTTGAACTCCTGGGCTCAAGCAATTCTCCCACGTCAGCTTCCCAAAATGATGGGATGACAGGTGTGAGCCACTGTGCCTGGCCTAAATATATCCTTTAAAGTGTGTGTGTGTATATAGAAGCTTAAATTATGAAAGACTAACTTTCACCATGTTATTTATAGATATTAAAATGTGTTGAAATTGAAAAATAACTTTAAATTTTGTTTGAATTTCTTATAAAAACTACTGATTACATAAACACTTCATTGCTCATGCCCTTTGACTAGTAGCCTTTTACCATAAGAACCTGGCATGCCGTTTCTCTGTACGTTTCATTTGGTTAATATGCACCTGTTAACAGGGATGTGTTTATACTTCTTTGGTTTTTGCTTATCTGCTCCAAACTTAAGAAATGAAAGGATATTGCCTGTGAGTGCCTGTGCTATCTAGAGCTGCTCTAACTGCTAAATGCTAGTAGGGAACGAGGCTGTGTGTTATGTGTTTCTCCATGGGATCTCTGACATCATCACAGAAAAGCATTTTGGAGAGAGTCGCAAGTATAGTCTAAGACAGACTGTGTAAGGAAGAAAGAGGCCTGCTCAGGGATCAGCATGGGTCCCTTAAGAGAGGGTACCTGCTCGCCTTTCACAAGAAACTTTCCTCCAGTGTGTTTCCAACCGTGATTCAGCAAACTGCAAGCTAAGGGTGGAAGGCAGCAGGTATCTAGTCACTTTTAATGACCTTCACTCAGCCTTCTAAGGTCACAAGGACCTTCTAAATAATTAAAGTTATCACCTAACTGGATTTGGGCTTTTCTTAGAACACCATGTCTGTGTTTTGGGCAATTCCCTGTGGTTTCTGTGATTTACTACACTGGTAGAGCCGCATTCCAGCCCTCAAGGTGACCAGGTCTGGGGGAAGGTCATTTAAAGATGTCTGAATGCTTGGAAGGCTGAGGCAGAAGGATTGCCGGCGCCCAGCAGGTCGAGGCTGTGGTGGCCGGGAGCATGTCACTGCACTCCAGTCTGGATGACAGAGTGAGACCCAACAAAAAAAAAAAAGATGTCTGAATGCTTACCCTATTTTAATTGAATCTGCCTACAAGGCTCCCATCAGTGTCTAACCTGCACTGA